CCGGAGTCACCAGTGACCTCAACAGGCGCAGGCGCAGGGGGGTCTACCTGAGAGACACCTGAAGGAGCAAGACCTGGCGCGGGGAGGGGGTCTACATGGGGAGGACCTGGGGCGAGAAAGAGCGGCGGGGGGGGGGGGGCGAGGAGCAGTGCGGTAGGGGAAGAGGCGGTAAAAGGGGACCGACTCGTCAAAGGTGACGTCCTGAGACGCAAAGACACGGCGCGAGACGGGGTCGTAGAACTGCCAGCCAGGCGCGTCAGGGACAAAGCCAAGGAAGACGCAAGGAATGGCACGAGGGGAGAGCTTGTCCGCGGTGGTATCGCGGACAAAGGCACGAGCACCCCAGACCCGGAAACGCGACGCGTCGCCAACCTTCCCCGTCCACAGCAGTGTGGGCGAGGTCTCCGGCAAGGAGACACGGGGCCAAAGGTTGAGCTGATGCGCGGCGTACCGGACCGCAAACGGCCACAGAAAATGGAGGGCAGCCGCATGGATCATGGAGGTACGAGCGACCTCCATGACTAAGCCAATGCGGCGCTCAGCAACCCCATTCTGCTGCGGAGAGGCCGGAAGCGTGAAAGTCTGGCGGATGCCGTGCTCCTCACAGAAGGCTGCCAAGAGGTCTGAGGAGAACTCACCACCTCTGTCAGAGTGCAGACGCAGGACAGGAAAGTCCGACTGGAACCGCTTGCGGAGCTGGAGACGAGTAGCGCGGATCCAGGGGATCAAAACAGCAGGGACATCCCCCTTGCGCTGCAAGGGGAAGACCGTGGTGTAGCGCGTGTAGTCGTCGACAACCAGCAGGAAGTACCGCTCGTGGCCCTGTCCACGGACGCGGGCTGGGCCCCACACGTCCAGGTGGAGAGTCTGCAGTGGAGCCTCTGTGGGAGGGAACGAGGAGGAGTGAGGAGCGGCGCGCTGCCGCCCCTCGACGCAAGGAATGCAGGGCGGCGCAGGCGAGGGAGGGAGGGGAGGCAGAGACCTGGGAAGACCAGAAACCAGGAAGCGGGAGTGCATGTTGCGCAGGCGAGGTAGGGAGGGGTGACCAAGGTGGTGGTGCCACAGGAGAGTGTCGTGCGACAGCCGGCGACACTCACACTGTGTAGCTACCTGAGCAGACACGTGCAACTTGGGAGACAAAGGGGCGGAGCGTGACGCAGTGGTGAGGGTGTACAGACTGGACCCTGGCGCATGAGCGAACGTGGCCAGGTGGCGACCAGTCTGGGAGCACGTGCAAATTGCCACACGCTGCCGGCCAGGGGTGAAGGTGTCAACCCCCGCATCCTGGAGGACAGCGTTACTCACCAAGTTCGTAGAGAACGAGGGGAGGTGGAGACCAGACAGCTCACCAGACAGGACCGCTGGACACGGAAGCACAGTGGAAGACCGTGCAAGCACTGGGCCCCCAGAGGGGTCAGCCAGTGAGACAGGAACAGGTGCAGGGAGGGGAGTGACTGTGGTACTATCGCGAAAGAAACAGCGGGAAGCACCAGAGTCAAGTGTAAAGGTGTGCAAGGCCTGTGCAGGCGCAGGACCAGGGGGAGCAGACTCACAAGCACCTAGTGCTGCAGGGGCTATACCAGGGGTTATACCAGGAGCCGGCGGCACACACAAGTAGCAGTCACCCTCAGCACTAACAGACAATGCATACATAGCAGCAAGAATTGCCTCATAGTCAAGATCAAAGATAGGGACATCACGCCTAAGCAAGTCTGCCCAGTTGGGGAACTCAGGAGCATCAGGAAACTTGGCACGCCAGGCGTCGCTAAGTCGAGCGAAGCAGCGCTGCTCAGTGTGAAAACCTGTGCACTGGCGACCAGTGCGGGGACCTGTGCGGATAATATAGGGGAAGCGACCAGGACCCCCAGAAACCCCACGCCCGGCATACCAGTCAAGAAGCTGCTGGGAAGTGGGGGTCTGGCGCTGCCGCTGATGCTGCTGCTGCGGCTGCTGCTGGCCCTGACCACCACTGCCACCACCGCTCCCTCCTCCCCCACTGCCGCTGCTGCCCCCTCCACCGCTCCCAGTGCCTCCGCCGCCCCCACCACCACCTCCACTGCCTCCACCCCCACGACCACCCCCACCACCTCCACCTCCCCCGCCGCCTGCACCACCGCCACCTCCACCGCCACCCCCACCGCCCCTGCCACCCCTGCCGCCCCTGCCGCTGCGACGCTTCCCACTAGGAGCAGAAGCAGCTCCGACCTCCTCAGCACCAAGGTAGTCGTGAGCAGCAGCTGCGGAGGCGTAGGAGGGGGTGAGAGGGGAGGGGGAGCACCCCTCAAAGAGGGGAGAGCGAGGAGTGCCACGAGCAGCACCTACAGCGAGGATGTTCTTCTCTGCTGCGAGGAGGTGCTTCTCGAAGTCATCGACAGTGAGTGTGGTGGGGTCTAGCGCTAGGAAGTGGTCCCTGACAGAGCTAAGAGTGTCAGGGAGGCGGGTGACGAGGAAATAGAGAGTGAAGTACATCGGGGGGGGGGGTTTGCGGCGCAGAACTCGGCTGAAAGGGCGGCACAAAAGCGAGAGTCAGTAGCGCGCAGGTGAGAAACTAGGTCCTCAGCAGTGGTGAACGAGGAAAGATCGGGGAACAGGTATGGTAGCATGAGTCGACCTATGGCTGTAGTGGCCGGGGAGGAGTAGCGAGCAACTACAGCGTCGTACAGTGTCTTAGCAGTTCTGTGCTGGCTGAAATGCGCTCGCTCAGTAATCGGCAGGTGGTTCCTAAAAGCTAGGCGTGCAGCAGCATCACGAGTCTGCCACTGGGAGCGTTCTAGAGCAGGAGCATCAGCAGCAGGAGTAACGGCAGTGCCAGAGACGTAATCAAACAGGGAAACGCCCTCTTTGGCATCAGTCAGAAGGAACAGCTGGAGATCGTCTAACCACACAGCGAACTCGATGGGACGACCGTCAGGCTCGAACGCTAGAACGTTAGGCGTCGCCATATTGGCTTAAGGCAGGAGGCAGCAGGCAGCAGACAGGAGGCAGGAGGCAGAGGCAGCAGGTAGCAGGCAGCAGGCAGCAGACTAGAGGCAGTAGGCACCAGGTAGGAGGCAGGAGGCAGAGGCAGGAGGCAGGGGCAGCAAGCAGCAGGCAGGCGGCAGCAGGCAGCAGGCAGGCAGCAGGCAGGCGGCAGGCAAGCGGCAGCAGGCAGCAAGCAGGCAGACAGGCAGCAGGCAGGCAGCAGGCAAGCGGCAGCAGGCAGCTTGCAGCAGGCAGGCGGCAGCAGGCAGCAGGCAGGCGGCCACAGGCAGCAAGCAGGCAGGCAGGCAGTAGGCAGGCAGCAGGCAGGCGGCAGCAGGCAGCAAGTAGCAGGCAGGCGGCAGCAGGCAGGAGCGGCCTGAGGGCGGCTGCTGGCTGCGTGTGGCGGCTTGCTGCGCAAAGCTGCAGGCTGCGCGTGGCTACAGGCAGCGCGCGCGGCCGCAGGCTGCGTGCGGTGACGGGCTGCGCGGGCTGCGAGCTGCGCGTGGCGACAGGCAGCGTGCGCGGCTGCAAGCTGCGTGCGGCTGCGGGCTGCGCTGGGCGACGGGCCGCACGTGCGCGGCTGCGGGCTGGTCGCTAAGCTGCGGGCTGCGCTGGGCGACGGGCCGCGCTGGCGTGGCCTAACCAGGTTGCGCGCGGGCGGCTTAAGGGGTGCACAGGCGGGGCCGAAACGGGCTGCGCGGGCTGCTGAAGCGGCGCACGTGGGGAAAAAAAAAAAAAAAAAGGACCGCCCGAGGCGCGCGCGGGCAGCCGAGGCGCGCGCAGGCACTAGACAAGGCAGGCAGGTACGGTGGGCCCTAATCCTAGGTCCTAAGGACCTATGCTCTAGATGCCATGTTAGAATCCTAGGCAAAGTTGTATTGCAATGTCGAGAGGTTTTGGTATAAGGATGAAACCTAAGGGGTTGTACCCCACAGTGAGTACCCCACTAAAGCCTATCTAAACAACAACATATACACATATGTTTGACAACAATTTGGTGTCATAAATTCATAAATTCGTATATGTCATTATATAAGGGCATGCGCTTATAAAAATGACTCAATTAGAAGCGCACCTCCCTAAAAATCTCTGCTTTATTATAAGCGCAGGTGCGCTTCTATCCGGGGTAATACGGTACTGGGCAGTCAAGGGTCACGACCGTTGACTGTCTTCGACTGTTGACCTTTGGGTGACCCTCGACCTTCCGCATGCTCTATATGAGCTATTGCGATAATGATACAGGCGAGTACCGTACCACCCCGGATATAAGCGCAGGCCTATTAAAAGCGCATGCGCTTCTATCTGGAGCAATGTGCTTATGCCCGATCCTCAATTATAAGCGCACCCCTTTAAAAAACATGATTTATTATAAGCGCATGTTAATTTTAAATTTGAAATACTTTCAAATTACCGTAACGAAGTTCACTTTAGGAGGCGATGAGATGAAAATCAGTTTTCCTTCGCATTCAAACCCTGCACAGGCTGCGCGTCCAGTCAGCAAGTGCTGTCAGAAGCTCCTAGTGACTCATTTTGAGTGTATGTGATGGCAGGGAATCTTTCCCTGCCAAGTAGCGAGAGTTTTTCACCCACAACCCTGTTTCAAATCGACTCAATTGGGTGCGCAATGACGCGAACTACATTTTCGTGCTAGTAGTTTAAACTTGTATATTTGTTATTTTATAAGCACATGCCCTTATATTTTTACTCAATTATAAGCGCACCCCCCTGAAAAATCATGTTTTATTATAAGCGCAGGTGCGCTTATATATGGGGTGATACGGTAGCTTCGTTATGGAGTGACGCGCGTTTGGAGAGCCTTCGGGAATGTTACTGTAACATTTAAGTTATTCCAACAACCGAGGCACATGCAATGCGCCACCACTTGAGGCCTAAATGCAAGATGTACTTGGACAAGTACCAACCACTTGAATACTTCCTTTTCATCCTCCCAACTCCTCCCCACCCTCCTCTCTCACCTCCCCTTCATAGCCTTCCTCATCTCCATCTCACTCCACACCAACCCCCTATTTCCCACTCCCCTACCCTTCACTCCCCTCGATTTTGCTCCTCTCCTTCCTCCACTTTGTGAATCTTGAGTGACCCTTGCCATCCCTCCACTCTCCTTCCTTCTCTTCGCTCCATTCATCCCCCTCCCCCATCCGCACTTCCTCTTCATCTTCTTCCTCCAAACACCCACTGCACATTCTCCCTTGTCCAGGTTCGCTGCACCATACATCACCACCGTCTATCTTGCCCCCTCTAAAGGCACATCTGGCTTGACTTCTGCACGTTGCTGCCACTGAGACTCCTGCACGCACACTCATACACACACACACATCAGTATTGGCATGCATGCCGTCATTGGCAGTCACATACATTGATATTGGGAGAGAAACTGGTGCGAGTGGGAGTGGCCGCACGTGGTGGCAGCACACACGAGTTGGATGGATGGGGGTGCGAGCGGGTGACGCCCACACACTAACACGAGAGCCACGACGCATGCCACATGGCACATGCCACATGCCAGCTCATAGAGGGTATCTGACAGCGTGGCGTCGAGAGACGCCAGATCAGCACCACCTGGCGCGCCAGCAGCGGAGCCGGTGAAGTTGGCTGCTGACGTGTCGTCACGGGAGAGGGAAGAGTGGAAGACAGCAAGGAGGGAAAATTGGGGGAAGGGAGAGCAGTGGAGAGACTAAGGCAAGATTCAGCAGTGCAATCGTACCTGAACCTTACCACCCAACATTCACTCAGGCAACAACGAACGAATGCCACTCAGATTGACATCACACGCTTTTTATGCAGCTGAAAGACGTCCCGCCAACAAAGGTACAGGTACAGCTTGGGTTGACATGAAACACTATGATGCAAAAGAGCGGATACAATCATACGACTCTCTCTCTCTAATCAAACCCCCAACCCCCCAATCATATTACCTCTTTCCTCCTCTAAATCCTTCTCTTCCATCAACTTGCCTTCCTCGTCCTCCTCATCGCCATCTCACTCCACCTCCTCCCCCGTTTTCCAGTCCCCTCCCTCCCATCCCCTTCACTCTCCTCTCCATAATCCCATTCACCCCCTTCTCCTTCCTCTCCTTCATTCTCCCCACTTTCGCTCCCCCCATCCGCACTTCCCCTTCCTCTTCTTCCTCTCGCTCATCCAGGTTCGTTGTACCATTGATCACCACCCTCCGTCTTTTCCCTGCTCCCCTACACGTCAATCCCCTCATCCTCCTCCGCAGTCCCCATTTCCTCTCCCTCCTCTTCATCCTCTCCCTCTGAGCTACCCACCACATGCTCTCCCTCGTCCAGGTTAGCTGTACCGGCAATGTTCAGATTCAATCGTGACAGCAGCGGGCAGCGTTGGACAAGGCAGACCTGCAGCTTCCCCATCTGCCGGAGGCCCGAGGGTAACTGGGCCAGCAGCGTGCAGTCCATCAGGTGTAACGTCTCCAGTGCTGGCAGCTGCGAAAACGATTCGGGCAGGCTGCGGAGTCTGGGCAGTAACAGAGAGAGTCTTTGCAAAGCAGAGAGCTCCCAAAAGTCATCGGGAAGGCACAAAATGCCGTCTCTATACAAATGACACGACTCCAGTCCGCAGAGATCAGTGAAGGACTTGGGAAGGCTGGTTAGGTCCGGGCAGCTGAAAATCACAAAATACTGAAGCTTCTCCAGCTGCCCGACCGACTCAGGCAGCTCAGTCAAGCTCATGAGACCCTCTAGTGTGAGGTATGTGAGGGCTGAAAGCTTCCCTATTGTCTCTGGCAGAGCTAGCAGGCTTTTGGAAAGGCAGATTCTGAGCGACTGCAAGCGAGAGAGGCAAGAGATGGAGTCTGGAAGCAAGCGGAGCCTATCCATTCCGGAAATTTCTAGCTGTGATAGCGAGGGGAAGGAGCCCAGCGATGGACCGAGCAGGTGCAATGGAAGGCCTGCAATGCTAAGGCTCTCAAGGGATGGCAGCAACACAACCGTGTCACTCTCCTCGGATCCCCCATAGCTGCCAGCGGCACTGCTGCTGCCCGTGTAGCTGGCTAACTGGAGGAGGCTGATTCTTCCTGCAAGGTCATGCCCGGCAGCTCCCGTGTGTGCATCCCCCAGCTCCTCATCCCCAAACAGCGACTGCAGCGCGCCGCAGTCATTCACTCGCAGATCTTTCACCCGCTGCAGTTGGCACAGCGAGCGAGGGAGCGACTTCAGGTTGGGCAGATCGCAGAGCGAGAGCGTTTCAAGCGCTTCCAGCCATCCGATCTCCTCTGGCAGCGCCGTGATCTGCGAGCAAACGACCAGTTTGAGGCTGGTGAGAGAACGGCCGATGGCAGGGTAGGAGGCGGGCAGGGCGGGCAGATGTGGCAGATCGAAGAGAGTGAGCTCCTTGAGGCTTGCCAAGTGGGAGAACCCGCCTGGTAGCGCGCCTCGTAGGCTGGGTGCATCATGGATCGTTCGGGTTTTGAGGGAGGAGAGGTTGGAGAAGGCGGGAGGGGGGTGGGTGAGAGCCGTGCATTCGAACAGCATCAGTCTCAACAGGCTATGCAGACCATGCCCTGTGGTAGAGCCGTCAGATTGCAGCAGTAACTGATTTCCAGCAGCTCAATAGATGATAGAAGAGTCAGGGAGTCTGGAAGCTGCGTCAGCAGGCTGCATTTGGCTATTTTCAGCTCCTTGAGGCTCGTCAGGTCGCCAAGCGATGCGGGCAGGCTGCTGAGCCAGGGAAGCTCAACCAGGTGCAGTGTCTCCAGGGCAGTCAGCTGCCCGAATTCCTCGGGCAGAGAATGTGGCGATTCAGAGTTTTCGAGCGTGAGCTCTTTGAGTGCGGTGGCAAGGTATACGGAGGGATGCAGGTGCACGGCCATTCCAACGTCTAGCTTGAGCGTGCATAGGCGTGGGAGGAGAGCGACGTCGTGAGGCAGATGGCTGAGTGTTAGTTTGACGGGGAAGGTCCGTTAGCGAAGTCAGGTGGGAAAGGGAGGCAGGGAAGGAGACCATATCGCGGCAGTCGATTACGGAAAGAATCCGCAGCCGCTGCAGCTGCCCGAGACTGGCGGGCAGGTCGGTAATCCCCCCCACCTCCTCCATTCGTAGGGTTTCAAGCTCCGGCAGGTTTCCGAAACTCTCGGGCAGCGGTGAAAGGTCTTCGCAGCGCGAAATTTCGAGGGTCCGCAGGGATGAAAGGTTGGAGATGGATTCGGGCAGCTGAAGCCTCACGGACGCCTTGATGGAAAGATGCGTCAAGTTGGTAAGCTGCCCGAAAGAATCGGGAAAGGATTTGAGTTCTTTGCAGTAGTCCAGACGGAGCGACCTGAGGAGCCTCAGATTGCCGAAGCCCTGAGGCAATTCACCCAGGCCGTACATTTCAAGCACGTGATGCGTGAGTGCCAGTAACGAGGTGAACGCATCTGGAAGGAGAGCGACTCTCCCCCTGTCCTTGATGTGGAGGCTCTTGAGTGACGCAAGGCAGCTGATTGACGCAGGAATGGCGGTCAGATTTGACTGACAATCAAGATAAAGTCCCTCTAGCCGTGTGCACTTCTCAAGGATATACGAAAGTCCGCTCTCAGCGAACCCCCCCGGTCTGTACAGTCGATGCATCTCATCGACGTGGAGGTCCGTCAGATCTGGACACGTGTCAGCAATCCCCGAGAGGAGGGAGTCAGGGATAGATGTGATGCTGCTGAAGGTGAGGACGAGCTTTCAAAGCCTTAGAAATGAAGGGAAATGCGCGAGCAGCTCGCGAGGACGCATGCGACGGAGTTTGCGAATCTGGATGTGGTCGTGCACACGACGGGCGATGCGATGCCATTTCTTGCATACAAACGCGTGCTGGAAATGGCCGTCGGATCGACCGACGAGACGGAGAATAACAGAGAGAAGGTCGTCTGACAGCTGTCCGATCGGCAATGCGGCAGCCATTTCGCCTAATGAATAAGTCGCAATGGGACTAACTAAAGTGGTCAAAGGCTAAGAAGGTTGCTGGGAGAGTCTGGCATAAGGAAGAAACCCTCAGCGAAGTCTCTCTGGCTGAAGACTCTGTGGCTCAAGTATCTGTGGCTCAAGTCTCTGTGGCTCAAGTCTCTGGCTCAAGTCTCTAGCTCAAGTCTTTCTGGCTGAAGACTCTCTGGCTGAAGGCTCTGTGGCTCAAGTCTGTGGCTGAAGTCTTGGGTATGGGAATCCCTAGGCGTGTCCCAGCGGGTGCGTTGGTCGCTCTTCCCCCCATCGACAGGGCGGAGGGCTCGGCCCCCTGGGGCTGGTCGTGACTCGCGTCACGAGAGCCAGCTCCCCCCCCCCCCCACCACTCTCTTGAAATTGAAGTAAATGATTAGGAAGGGTAAATAGCAAGTAGAGAGAAAGAAAACTCCTAGAAGAAAGAGTTAAGAGTGAAGTAAGACAAAATTGATAAGATAAAGAAACCTATGAAGAGATTGAGTAAGAACGTAAAGGCTAATAAGGTTAAGGATAAAAATAACAAACTTGAAAGGAAGATGATGAAAACATTAAAGGGAGAGAACAATTGATTGAAAGAAAGATATTGAATGGGTGATTGATGAGAAGGTAAAAGAGCTTGAAAATTAAACAAACTTGATAATGGAAACTAAGATTTGAGAAGAAAGGAGACTTTATAAGAATGAAGAGGCTTTGAATAGGGAAGCTTTAATTGAGAAACTTGACAAGAGTGAAAGGAGGAGGTGACTTACCTTAAAGAGTCTTACTTGTCATTTTGAAGGAGCTTTGTAACTTGAAGAAGCCAAGCTTGAATTGTGAATCTTGATTGTTGGAAGAAGAGTGAGATCCAAGCTTGATTGTTGAGTAGTAGATCTTGATTGTTGAGTGGAGAAGCACCTCCAAGCTTGAGTGTTGAGGTGTAGATCTTGTTTATTGTGTAGAGAAGAACCTCCAAGCTTGAGTGTTGAAGGTGAAGCTTGAGTGTTGATTAGAAGAAAGTCAAAGGTTGATGTTGAGGCCTCAAAACTTAAAATGCACTAGTCCAAAGGAGGTACATGATGGACTTTAAGAGCAACCATTAATAACAATCTAGTAGAAAGACTATGAAGCATAAGCTTCTCTAGAGTTGGAGAACATGGCTATGAGCTTGGATTGGGAGAGGTTGGTGGTGAGTGGAGCCTTAGGAGTTGGGCATGAGGAGGAGGACTTTGAAGTGGCCTTGTGAGAGCTTGGAGTAGAACTTGTGCAGAGCTTAGGTAAAAACTTGCTTGTAAAGTATATTGAGGAATGGGGTGGACCCTTTGTTTTGTATTTGGTGGAGCTTTGAGGTTGGATGAAGAAGAGGAGGAGATGAATGATTGTGATTGGTTAAGTTGGATAAGGTGGGGGTGATGAATGTGGCCTTGAATTTAAGGCTTGGTGAGTGGAATGAATGTGGCCTTGAAATTAAGGCTTGGTGATTGGAATGAATGGGCTTTGATTTAAGGCTTGGTAGGGAATCTTTGGATTGATTGGTGGAGGAGAAGGTTGAGGAGGATTGGAGAAGATATGAGGTGGAGGATTGAAGGATTTGTATTAGGTGAAAATGGAAGTGTGCCTTGCTGACTAGAGATAAGGATGATGAAGTGGCGAATGGGTAATGTTGAGAGATGCCCTTTGCAGATTCTAATTTTGGCTGACGCGGAAACTGTGGCGAAAATTTTCGCCACGTGAAATTTTTCCCGCCACCCTGGTGCCACGCGAGCAGCAGCAGCAGTTCATCCCAACACACTCCCCCATCGCCAGAATCCGCATGGTCACTTATCGCACAGCATCGACGCCTCGGCGGGATATATGTGCAGAAGGGAAACCAGACGCGAAAATCACCTTACGTATAAATTTGCTAGTGATGCGAAAAAAAAAAAGCCGTTGTGAACCCGCGTGAGCACAACAGAGGCCCTGTTCTGTTGTGGAGCTTTTCGCGCGAGGACAAAATGTTTCGGGGAAAATATGCCACTCTTAATCAACAAGGGTCTCGATAATATGTTTCGTAAAAAAATAACGGGTACGGTCACTGCAAAGGGTGTTTTCACGTGTTTCCCTATGTTTCGTATGTAATAGAGTCTACTGCATGCGCGACGTTTCTTCGTTCGCCATCAATCGTCTGATTTCGCCAACGAAACCACCTCATTTCCCTGCAATAGCATCTTCGGCTGCACACTACTGCAAACTATATGATCTGTGTTGGGCTGAAAAAGTCCTTAGGATCGTTCAAGACTAAACTCTCAGAGTAGTGATGTATTTAGCGGGAGCGTAATAGTGGATTGAGTGAACCACCTTGTACTAGTATGTGAGAACAAGATGAATTTATTAAAGCAAATAGATACAAGGATATATATATATATGATTACAAGGAATACGAAGGGTTTAACTGTAACTGTTGTTGCGGTTCGATACAGCGACGACTCGGGTAACTGCTCAATAACGAGTCAGTTATTTGTCCTTGCTGTCGCGCTGCCTTTGTCAAGTCAAAGGACGCTGACCTTTGACCTTCGCTCCAACCTCCTGCTGTTGTCGCCTAGTCAACCGCTTTGGTTGACTCGGTGTTGCTTCGCTGTGAGTATACTTCTCTTTTTGTTATAGTGCTCGATACTTCAGAAGCGTAAACTGAATGTTTCCAACACTCCCCTTCGCTTCTGGAGTGTCATCGCCTTCGTTGTTGATGACGTGGCCCTGTCCAGTCAGCAGCATGCAGTACTCGAACTTCTGCTTTCCAAGTTTCTTGGTTAGATAATCTGCTGCCATCTCAGACGTGGGCCAGTAGGATAGCTCGACTCTCCCTTTCTTGATACCGTCCTTCACGAAGAAGTAGCGTAGGGCGATGTGCTTCGTTCGATTCGCGAACCCACTCTTGTTCGCTATGTGAATTGCAGATTGGTTGTCGCAGAAGAGGGAGAAGCTGGGTAACTGAGCCAGCTTTGCTCCTTCCAGTAGTTCGCGAAAGTACAGTCCTTCCTTGGTGGCTGAGCAGAGTGCTGCGATATATTCGGCTTCAGCAGAGGAGAGTGCAATTAGTTCTTGTTTGCTCGACTACCACGAGATAGGTCCGACGGGCTCAAGTCGATAGATGTAGCCGGTGCGTGATCGCCAGTTGTCAGAGTCGCCTGCGTGGTCAGCGTCTACGTAGCCGATTAACTTTGGAGTAGTGGTTCCGGTCTTGTGGTAGGTTAGGCCGATCGTTGGCGTGCTGACGAGGTAGTGTAAGGCGCGGTCGAGTTCGGCCATATGCTCTACTTCGGGCCGCTTGAGGTGGGTAGCAAGCTGACTCGCTGGGTATGATAGATCCGGTCGGCAGGTGACGGCTGCGAAGAGCAGACAACCCAGTTTTCGTTGGTAGTCGCGTAGGTCGGCAGTTTCAAGCAGGTTGGATTTTTCCTCGTGATTTCCCGTAGTGTAGCGGTAGGGCGTGAAAATGGGGGCTGACGTCAGTCCGAAGCGTTTTGAGATGGTGTCAGCGTATTTTGCGGCGCTGAGGTAGATCGCGTTCTCTCCGTCTAGAATGTTGAGTCCGAGGTACTGGGTCACGGTAGAAGAAA